CACCCAAGAGGTACCTACTTGCCCATCCTTTTAACTTCATCAGATGTGTTTGACTTTTATGCAAGTCCTGCTCTGCCCAGGCCCTCTGAAAAGCATAAATACTCACTGTAAAATATTTGTACCACAAGAGAACCACACCCCCAACCCCAATCCTTTCCTGTTTTCTTTCTTTCTGAAAAGCCCTTCCATTCATATGCCATACAGAATCTGTTCACTGTGATACCCTATGTTCTTTTTTAAAAAAGAAAAGTTGGAGGAAAATATGGTAAAACATTAATATTTGCTTCTGGATATTGGATTTATGGTTGTTTTTCCTTATAACTTTCTATATATTCCAAACTTTTCTACAATGGACTTGTATTTTATAATAAAGAAATTTGACAGAATCTTTTTAATCACATAAAACAATTCATCTTACTATAATACAAATGGAGCCCTTTCCTTCCAGACAAGGGACAAGTGATACATAACACAACTGGCTTATCGTTAACTCCAATCCTACACATATCAGTGACTGCCTCTCCATTACCTACAGAAAAAGACCCTCTTTTGCATAAATTCAAGGCTTCATGATCTGGCGTGGGTCTGTCTTCCCTGCCTTACCTTTCATTTACGGTCTCTGCCCACTACCCCCAACCACTGACATGGCTCTTTTTCTCTGTTCACTCTACACATCTTCTTCTACATATTTACTCTCATTGTTCTGGTTGTCTGGAATGCACTTTAGTCTGACTCCTGCCTTTTCATTTTTCAAGATCTGTTTATTAAATGTCACTTCCTCAGAACTCCTAGTCCAAATCTGAATCACATGACAACTTCTATTTTTTTAAAGATATATTTATTTATTTATACAAGAACTGGGGTACAGGCCAGAGGTGCGGGCAGTGAGAGATTTCACCAAAGGCAGAGTGAGGAGCAGAATAGGCAGACTGACTGAAATACACTGCTGAGGGGAGCAGCAGATGGGTCAGGAGATGTCTGCTGGGCCATGTGGGTCAGCTCCCTGGCAGGGGATTGAACCCATGCTGCAATGGCTACAGATAGCTTCAATTGCTGTGCCCCTTATGCCATTAGGGAGGGCCCACATGACAGCTTCTAAGGGCCACCTTACCTCCAGTCTCTCCTTCAGCCCTTTTTTTACACTGCTGCTGGACTATCCTAATCTAATACAGCTTTGTATATATCAGAACCATCTTCCCTATCAGTGTTCTATGAGTAGTATGCTGCTTAATGTTTAACAAGCAGCTCTGAACTGATTTGCAACATCTGCTGATTTCCACGGTGGAAACATTTCCACCATGGCCATTTTTCAAGATATCAATGAGACATTATTGTAGGTGGCTTTGGCAAGAGATGTGCACAATTGGTTCTCACAAGCCTATACAGCAGCCTCCATGTTTCCCATTCAAAACATTTCATTAGTGTTCTTTAGAGTACTTTTTGTACTGTTTGCAACTCTTCTGTAAACCAAAACTATTTCTAAATAAAATGTTTAATCTACCAGAGTAGATACAGACTAATTCTTAATTCCCCCAAGGGCAAAGAACCCATTCTTTTGGGATTGTGGCCCTATAAGTTGAAAAGAAAGCACTATTTGTAGTTGAACAGGCAAGGCTTTATTAGAGACTCATGCATGAGGGAGCCAGGCTATATTCTCCTTTCCCAATCTGGCTCCCTCAGACATGAGTTGCTCTAATAAAGCCTTGCCTGGTTCAACTACAACTAATGCTCTCTTTTGAATTATTTTCCTAGAGGGCCACTTTTTGGGGTTTGAGGCCCTATAGCAGTTTAGCAAACTTCTTTCTCAGCAAAATGTGGATGTCCTCTTAAAATGTTACTGAGACAAATATGAGAAAATAATGATGTTAATTATCATGACATAAAGCCACTGAAAAACCTATGGAAGGGTAATTGGAGGATTTTCAAAAATATCTAAATTCTAATCGTAGTTAATGGATACAACTGCACAAGGTGGAAAATGAGTCTGAATGTCATTGAGACGAGATAGCATCTGGTTAATTATATCAGTTAGTTTTCAAGAAAGAAACCTGTAGCTCTCTCGATGAATCCAACCAAGATGGTGTTCAGGCTCTTTCTGGAGGTTTCCTGAGTGGCGCACATCTCCTTTGGACTTTATGAGAAGCTGGTCATGAATACACAAGTTTTTGATTAGAAAAGGGCTTTGGTTGATGAACTTTGCACTCAGGTACAGGCTATGCCTTTCAGATGCATGCAGCACACTGATCCCATGTTCAGATTCTCACGCAGTGCCTGCCAGAAGGCAGATATCAATACAATATGGAAGGTCACAAGAAGGGCCAAGAAGATTGAAAACAGAGAAAGGAAAGTCAACATGTTAAATCATTATGAAGTCATAAGACAAGGAAAAATGAATAGAAAAATCAAGTTGAAGTTTGAATGTTTCAAAAGGCAACTCTTCTGGAAGCTTCTCCCAAATAAGCACCTGCTGCTAAGGGTGTATCTCTGAAAGCTGCTACAAAGATTCCTACAACTAGATGGCAGCTGCAGTGGACAAGGCTCCAGTTCAGAGGGTTCCTGCAGAAAACCGCAGCCAGAAAGTGGTACCCTCAAAAGTTCAGGAGAGTTAGGAAGATCCATCCAAGAAAACACCTGCTCCCAAGGTAACCTGAAAGCATGAGTGCATACCAGGCTATTATGTAATAAAGGTTCTTTTATTTATTTATTTTAAAATATTTATGCATAAAAGAGCAAGGGTGTAAGTCAGAGATGCAAAGGGTGAGAGGATTGACTAGATACAGAGTGGGGAGGAGAACAGGGGGATCCACTGAAATACACTGCTGAGGGGAGCAGCAGGAGAGACAGGAGAGGTCTGCTGAATCTTGTGGGTCATCTCCCTGCCCAGGGATCAAACTTGTGCTGCAGTGGCTGTGGATAATAGCTTCATTATGCTGTGCTTTAACCTCTTGTGCCACTAGGGAGGGCCTAAGATTTGAAATATATTAGCAGATCATAAAAAGAAAGGTTTAAAGTTTATGACTTGACTAGCAAAATAAAATGTTGGGACCGAGGGACTGACTACCTTGGACTACAACCACACCCTCTAGGTAAAAGCATTTCATCGTTCTAAAAATAAAACTTCATGCCAATTAAGCATTTATTTCTCATTCTTCCATATCCCCCCCCCCCCGCACTTAGCAAAACCAATCTGTTTTTTGTTCTGAATATTCTATATCAGTGGAATCATAGAACATGTGGTCTTTCTGTTTACCTTTTTTAATTTAGCACAGTGTTTTTTTAGTTCATGTAATTGTGGCATGTACTGCAAATTCTTCATGGCTCAGTAATATTCCATGACATGTATATATTACAGTTTGTTTATTCATTTGTCTAGTAATGGATATTTCATAGCCAACTTTTGGCTACTGTGAACTGTAATGCTAAAAATATTCAGGTGCAAAGATTTGAGTACCTGCTTTTAAAATTCTGTAGGTTATCCTAGGAGTGAAAATGTTGAAACCTATATACCGTACATTTTCGAAAACAGAACCTCAATTTTTCAAAAATACACGCAGGAAATGCTCTCCCCCAAGATGGAGTGGAAGGGGCTGACGGTGCTAGTAGTTTAGCATGCTACATAGATTTATTAATTTAAGTGAATGTCTGCAGATCACATCTGTCATGTCACAGGATAAAATATTTATGCACAGAAGAGCTAGGGTGTAGGCCAGAAGTGAGAGGAGTCACCAGAGACAGAGTGGGGAGCAGAACAGGCGAATCTATTTAAACTGCTGAGGGGAGCGACAGGAGAGACAGAAGAGGTCTGCGTACCTCGTGGGTCTGCTCCCAAGGTCGGGAATAGAACTCTTGCTGCAGGGGCTGCCCATAGCTTCACAGTGCTGAGGCTTAACCCTTTGCGCCACCAGGGAGGCCCCCCATGTCACAGGATTCTTAAAAAGAAAACAAATACGCCACCAAGAAGCCGATTCAGGGGTTGGGTTTCAAATCCAATTAGTTGCTTTTTGTCCCAACCGCTTACTAAAACATACAGGTTGACTAGGAAAGTTGTGCTGGAAGTGGAGAGGAGCACAGAATTTCAGGAAAAGCAGCTTTCTTCCCATGTCGAGGACTAAGAATACATTCCCATAACTAGCTCATGGTCATCTATAATCTAGAGAACGTCAGTGGAATTTAACATACCACGCTTCGGTATACTCTCCCCGCCCCTCCCCTACCCGAAGATGCTCACAAACAATTGTTCTGGAGACCGCAGACAACAGCTGGGAAAAGAAAAGTGCCATGAAAGGTTCTTTATTTAGGATTCAGCGGTAGCATGGCCTCCATGGAATCCGCAGGAAACAAAACTGACCCACGCTCTAAACAAGATGGTGGTTGGGACAGGACCGCTCTATCTGTCCAGGAGAAACTCTATGGCAGAGCAGGCCGACAACCTAGAGAAATGAAGCTGAAATGGGCGGTATCCCGACCACACTAGCGCACTAGGAAGAGTGGGGCGGAAAGAGAGCTTTAGCGCATGTGTGGAGCCCGTAGGGGCCGGGGATGACTAAAGGCCCACCCCACAGCGCAAATTTTCCGAAACGTGTGACTCGCTTAAGTCCGGTTAAACCCGAGGTGGGGCGTTTCTTAAGACGCATGCGTTCTAGACGAGACTAGCGATTCAGTGGCGTGGTCTTTTCAACGCCGGCGTAGAGGCGACGTCTGAGGTGGAAGGGGCGTTCAGGATACCCAGTACGCGTGCGCCTAGAGACCGAGGCGTTTCCTTCAGAGGGTGTGGAGCGCAGAAATCCTTATTGCGCAGGCGCAAAGGCTGTCCGGTACATCTAGTGGTCTGTCATGGGGAGGGAAGAGGAGGTTGAAGGGCTTAAAAAACCGGGTGCGCCTGCGCATTTCCCACTGGTGGGAAGAGCTCAGTATTTGTGAGGGGCGGAGTTACGTATACGCGTCATTAAATGGGTAGGTGGGAGGGAGGGTGGAGCTCGGGAATGGTGTGTGCGCTTGCGCAGTGCGGGGGTGGAGGGCGGAGGAGATAGATAGCACGCTTGCGCGGCTGTCACAGGGCTGCTTGGTTGGTCAGTAGGGAGTCAGCGCCTGCGTACTAAGACCCGTGTGCAGCAGCGGCGGCGGCGGTAGAGGCGGCGGCGGCGGCGGCGACGGCGGTAGCGGCGGCGGCAGCGGCAGCGGGCTCGGAGGCAGCGGTTGGGCTCGCGGCGAGCGGACGGGGTCGGGTCAGTGCGTTCGCGCGAGGTGAGAACGGGCTGGGCGCGCGTGCGCGGAATCTTGGCTTAAGCCTGGGAGTGGAGATGGAACTGCGCGGGGGTCGGGGAGGGGGCTTAGTGGAGCCGTGGCTGCCGCCGCACGGGATTCCGTCGGAGAGCGGCGCGAGGTGCGGAGAGGCGCCGACGCGAGCCCCGGTTGGCGCGCGGGGTGACGGTTGGGGCCGGCCGGTGACGTTGGAGCGACGCAGGGCGGGGGACGGCGAGCCGCGAGGCCGCCACGCGGGAGAGGCCGCCGGGCGGCCACGCCGGGGCGAGGGCCAGGGGCCAGACTGGCCTGCCTGGGCAAGGGGTACCGGAGCGGTTGAGGACCGGGCGCCGCGCGGCCACGTGAGGTGGGGGGAGGGGGCTATTCGGTGAGAGGGCATGTGGAGGGGGGGTTGGCGGCCGGCGGGGGGAGGGGAGGCGGCGTGGCTCCGGCCTGGCGCGGCCTTTGAGGAGGGGGCGACCGCGGCACCGGAAGTGCCCCTCACGGGACGCTGCCCTCGGGGTCGGAGGCCGCATGGCCGAATGTGGACGGGGGCCGCATGGCACTACGGGGACCCCTCCCCCCGGTCCCGGCCACCGGAAGCCCCGGGCGGCCACATGGTGGGCTGGAGCGGGCAACCCCCGATGCGGGGAGGGCTGGTCCTCGCGGGTGCCTAGGGGAGCTTGGAATTTTGAGTGAGAGAAGCCGGGGGCGCGGGTCCTGAGAGCCCGGTGCAGGCATATGTTAGCTTCCCTCACCTCATGGGCCCCTAGAGCTTTCTCACCGATCCTTAAGTGAAGTGAGACGGCCACCCAGGTGTAAGTGGCACTCTGCTGGGAGTACTGAGAAAGGGGGAAACGAGAGGGCTTTTGGACAGGAGCCCAACTCTTCTTGCTGTGTGAACATCGCATTAAAGTACTGGGCAGATGAGTTCCCCGCTGTGATGGGTTCTCTTCACCTTGTCATAGTCTTCTTCCGCATTGTATCTATTAGGGATTCCGTGGTTTAAGAATTTTCAATTCTACTAGACTAGTATAATTTGTACTATTCACACTACTACCAGCCTTTTGCTTTCATTTTATTGTCATTCACCACTCCTCACTCCCCCACTTTCTACTGACTGTACAGGCCCTGCCTGAAAAGCCGACAGGACCGATGCATCTTGGGAAAAGTGGGAGGGCCCTCCAGGAGAGTGAGTTCCTGGGTTCCCTTTGGGAAACAAGATCGAGGTGTTTGGCAAAGGGGATGTTAGAAAACAACTTTACTTTCTCCCCCTCGGCTGCATCTGCAAATGCTTGTTGGAGAGATGGGAATCCCCCAAAGAGGCCTTGTGGTTTCCTGTACCAGTGACTGGCTCATGTGTGGATGGGGGGGGGGTGTAACAGAGAAGGGTGGGGCCGGTCCTCTGGCCTCCACCCTCCCTCCCCCCCCACATTGGCCCCGCCCATGTGCTGGCTCATAGCTGCTCACCTAATTATAGCCCTGGTTTTGTGGAAAGAGGGGTGGTTAGTTTCAATGGCAACTAACACCTGAGTCTTCCCCCTCCAAGGAATTAGGTCTTTGCCCATTCCAGAGATTTGACATCTTAACTCTGCGGGTCCTTCCTTTCCTAAGCATTCCCTTTAATTTTGGATGGGGGGACTTCTCTCCCACACACATACACCGATGCACACACTGTTGAAGTATTTGTGATCCCAGGCAGTGTATAATCCGGAAGCTTTATTTTAGGTGGATAATGAAGGGGGTGGGATGAAGCAATGTTGTCAGTGAATAGTGGGATAGTTTAGTGACTGTTAACCTCCACCCTTACACCAGTTTTCTTAACCCTAGTTGGAATCGAAGCCTCTTAAAATGGCAGATGATTTGGACTTCGAGACAGGAGATGCAGGGGCCTCAGCCACCTTCCCAATGCAGTGCTCAGCATTACGTAAGAATGGCTTTGTGGTGCTTAAAGGACGACCATGTAAGATCGTGGAGATGTCTACCTCCAAGACTGGCAAGCACGGCCACGCCAAGGTTAGAATTTCATCTCCACATCTTGCCTTCCCCACCTCTGTCCTTGCAGCTCCTGGAAGCAGACTCATCGGGCCTAGCCATTTATCTCTTAGTGCTTTTCTTACCATCTTAATTCCTTATATTTAGTGCCTTAGCCCTGGATCCCTTCCTATTACTATACCTGTTGCCTTCAGCCTCTTCTGTGACCATCTGCCCCATCCTTTGGTCATCCTCCCTTTGTCTATCTTTGAGTCTGATTTACTTGTCTTAGGGATCCATTATGTTCTAACAGTTCAGCTGCTCATTCTGTTTTTTCCCTTTTTTCTCATCCTTACAGTATTTATAGGTATAGTTTGTTCATTTTGCCCTGGGTTTCTTCACTTCTAACACAGGTTGCAGTCTTTCCCTGAAGAACTCCAGTGTATCTCTGAGCTTCTAAATCACCTTGTTGATCAACTCTCCATTGCCAGCTTTTCCTTGAGTCACCCCACTTCCCCTTGCTTTCTTGCTCCTAACATTCTTGCTAGTCCTTTCGTGACACTTCAGACTAATCCTTTTTTCTCAAAGTTCAGTCTGGTTTGTCCTTGTTGGGTATCTTGTGGTTTTTCTCCCCCTAGTCCATTTCCCATCTTCTGGTAACTTGGCACTCATCTTGGGTTACCCTTTTATATCTAGATCCTTTATTCTTTATGGTTTCCTGATTTCCTAACTACATAGCTCTGATCACCCCAAGTCCCTTTTTTCCTTTTTAATCTTTTCCCCTTCTCCATCCTGTTTTTTCTCAGCTCTTTCACTACTACCTTATTTCCTATGTCCTTGGCTTTTTTGGCTAAAGTCTAGAAAACCGTACATAATTTTGCTTAGAATCCTCTCATTTTCTTAGGGCTCTTGTTAATTGCTTTGATAGCTCAAGGAAACTACTCCAGAGCTGCAGTTTCCTGTGTCCTGTCAGCCCCAATCTCAGCGGTGATTTCCATCTCAGGTTCTTTTTTAGAGGCCTTTATGTTTCTTTCTTGAGTTGATTGGTTCAGTTCCAAGTCATTGAATCTTTGTCCTAACAACCTAGTCTGACTTCCCTCACCAGTCAGGAACAACTTGAGCCTTTATCTCTCCTCCATCCTAGAGTTTGGTTTGGCTTCTCTTTGATGTGATGCATACATACAGGTCCACCTGGTTGGTATTGACATCTTTACTGGGAAGAAATATGAAGATATCTGCCCGTCAACTCATAATATGGATGTCCCCAACATCAAAAGGAATGATTTTCAGGTATGTAGATGGTCTTGGGAATAGATGGGTTAGTGGTTTATAGGGAAAAAATACTGACTAGGAGAGCTTGTGCTGGGATAGAGGGAAATGGCAAGAAAGGCTATTTGGCATTATCACTTTGCCACCTGGTTTGTCCATTACACCCTATCCGTGGCTTACTTGGGCCTACCTTCAGCTTCTTTCCCTATCTGCCCCCAGCTGATTGGAATCCAGGATGGGTATCTATCACTGCTCCAGGACAGTGGGGAGGTGCGAGAGGACCTACGTCTGCCTGAGGGAGACCTTGGCAAAGAGATTGAGCAGAAGTACGACTGTGGAGAAGAGATCCTGGTATGGTATTGTTTCTCCCCCCATCCCTTTGTGTCCAGCTTTATTCTTTGTGCTTCCTCTGAATTCAGACTTATGACTTCCCCAGATCACGGTGCTGTCTGCCATGACAGAGGAAGCAGCTGTTGCAATCAAGGCCATGGCAAAATAACTGGCTCCCAGGTAAAAAAAAAAAAAGAAATAAAAGAAACCCCTTTACATACTTTGTTGTACCCATCAAAAAATCGCTTTAGTTTTAATTGTTCCAGGTGTGTTTTCTGCCCACCTTGCCCAACTAACTGTTGAAGGCTTGTCCTGTCCTTACTTGGTTTCTCTCTCCTACCCAGGGTGGCAGTGGTGGCAGCAGTGATCCTCGAGCCTGCAGAGGCCCCTTCCCCCAGCCTGGCTCAGCTCTGGCCCGGCCGTTGGCTGGACTCCTACAATTTATTTGACGTTTTATTTTGGTTTTCCCCACCCCCTCAATCTGTCGGGGAGCCCCTGCCCCTCACCCTGCTCCCTTGGCCAAAAGTTCAGTGAACCATGGCCTTGGTGAAGCTGCCCTACTCTTCTCCCCTCGCACTACAGCCCTGGTGGGGGAGAGGGAGTGGGTGCTGCTTGTGGTTTAGTTGGTTTTTTTTTTTTTTTTTTTTTAATTCAACCTGGAATCAGAAAGCTGTGGATCTGGCAAGTGGTCCTTATGTCCTTCTCCCACTCATCCCTGGTCTTGTTCCCAATACTCTACCCCAGCACCACCCACAGACTGGGGACCAGCCCCCTCCCCTGCCTATGTCTCTCTCCCCAAATCCCTTTAGGTGGGGAGGAAAGAAGAGAGGGGAGGGGACCTGCCCCCTCCTCAGGCATCTGGGAGGGCCGTGCCCCCATGGGCTTCACCCTTTCCTGCGGGCTCTCTCCCCGACACATTTGTTAAAATCAAACCTGAATAAAACTACAAGTTTAATATGAAGCCCCCAACTCGACTGCTGCTTTGAATTAAATGGGTATTTGGTTTGGAAATGGGAAGGTTACTGGATTAACTACTCCTGAGTTCATTATGACCAACCTTCTAACCAGTGTGATTTACCATATACTACCTGCTAGCCATCCCCAACCCTCCATGTACTCCTGGCCTCGTTCACATGGGAGGCAACACAAACAGTAGCAGCCAGGGGCAGTGGCAGGTAGGTTTTTATTGGTCTGGGACATGTAGGGAGCCCTCACCATGGCAGGGAGGAGCGAGGCTGAAGATAAAAATCTGATCACTTGTGATAGAACCTCGGATTCTGGCTGTGCTGGATGAAGGGGAGTCTCGGGCCAGGTTGGCTGGTAGCTGCAAAGCCCGACTGGTGGTGGTGATGCAAGGGTGGCCTTGTCAGTAAGCACACTATACCTTCTACTCCAAACCCCTTCCACCCCCAAGGAAAAAAAGAAAGCCAGGGGGTATAATCCACATGTCCTTCCCATTTGTTTCCCTGGTAGTACAAGGGTTTTTAACAGGTTTGGTTATCGTTACCTTTCCTGCTGGTTGCATCTGCACAGGAAGCTGGGGGGAGGCAAGGAGTCCAGGGGCTGGATGCAGAGCTTGAGGGTGCATGGGGCGCAAGGAGGACTGCAGAAAAGAAAATGTGAGCGCTTAGGGCTCCTCTTAGCACAGCACAGCCCTTGACTTCCCAAGGCTCCATACTCACTGAGTCGGAGAAGCCCGTCTGTTGGTTAGCATGTTCCATTTGCTTTTGTAAGGAGAGGGCACCACCAGGCTGAAGGAACCCTAGGTAGGTGAAAAGGATGTGTGGAGTGAATAGAAAATGGGATAGAGAGCACTCACAGACCTAGGATGCCAGCACGGGGTCTTCTCACCTGTTTGGGTGGGCTGGAAGTGGCCATGTACGGCATAGGGCTGTGGCTGTGGCTGGGACAGGTATTGCACTGCAGGGAATGCTGAAGGTGCTGACAAGAGGAGATACAGCTGTTAGAAAACCCTTTTAGCCTGGGATTAATGCTGTTCTCCGGGGGCCTTGAGAGAACCCCCTTTTCCCACTACTCACCTCTGAGCTGCTGACTAGGACTATAGGCTGGCTGTGTGGGTCCATAGTGAGGTGGGGGCTGAGCAGTCCCATAGGCGCCACCTGGGCTGCCTTGAAACTGCCCATGCTCTGGGGTCCCTGCAAAGGCAGCTGCTGAGCCCACGTAGTGCCGGGTCTAAGGAGGGGAGGGTGAGAACCCTGTCAATCTTTCAAGTAGAAATTCAATAACTTGTATTTCCCATTCCTTTCCTTCTCCCCAACACGTCTGGTACACTCACAACATAAATACTGGTTTTGAGAGGATGCCTCGATTAGGGGAAAACATGCTAGGCACCCAATTCTGTTCCTTACTGTAAGTACTTGGGGTCCAAACATCTGTTTGGCTCTGTCAGCTGCCATGAGGGTACCTGGGCGACTGTGTCCTCCTGGGCTCCCTAGAGGGAGAAGGGGCTTCATGATGCTGAAATGGAAGATTGCAACCACCAGAAGAGGCCATGATGACAGATGGGTTCTTTAGTCCCTTACCCTGCATGCTGAGGAGGTGAGTTCCTGTGTGAACTGTCAGGCTCTGCTGATATGCAGCTGATGTCAGTGTGGTCAGGTCACTGGAGTGAAATGAATGCAATCAAAGTCAAATACTCAACACTAAACACTGGTCTTTTGTTACCTGGCCCCAATTACATTTTGCCTGCCCTGTTTATTTTTAGTTCTCTGATTCTACCTCTGCTCCTTTCGTCTCCGTTTTTCTTCTTCATGTAAAACTTTCTTGAGCTGCAGGAAAAGCTGGTGCTTCTCTTCCTGTAGAGCCAAAAGCTTCTCCTGCAACTTCATGATCTGGGAGGACAGAAGAGGGGAGAGAGGATGAAGGCAGGAGAGCCAAGAGAAGAAAGGACTGGAAGAGATGAAGGGAATGCTTACTTGTTCCTTGGTCTCCTCCAGTGACATCCTCTCTTCCATCTCCTTTTTTTTCCTTCTCTCCTGCTCTTCCTTCATTTTCTGTTCCATCATCTTATCCACCTCTTCTTCCTCTGGAGAAAGTTAGAATAAGAAAGTGGGAAGATGAAGACCAGCAAAGCTGTTTGGGTAACGGCTCTTCCTTCTTGAGGAGGGTACAGGTCTCCTCATCACAGCACACCAGAATATAAGGACAAGGGAGGGTTTATTAGGTGCTCTCCAAGGTCCTTTCCAGAGCCAGGATTTTTGAGTTTTGAACTCCCACCAGAACGGGGCTGTCTCACCCCTCTAAGTATTTGCTCCTGGCACACTGGCTGGCCCCGGAATAACAGTACCGCTCCGGGCCGTGTGTCCAGCCGCTTGGGCCTGGGCTCACCTTGCCGCTTGCGCTCCCGCTCCATCATGATGTGCCGGTGCAACGCCCTGGCCATGGCGTTGGAAAGCTTGGGGCGTTCCAGGAGTGCAGGCATGGTGCTGCCGCGGGCGCTCGGGCCGTGGGCGCCCGGCTCTGTCACAGACGGCCAGACCTCGGCCCGGGCCTGCGGGGAGGCGGACGCTCAAGGAAGACCGCGTTCGACCCAGGCGGAAGCCCGCCCGCCGCCCCAATCACGTGCCCGTCGCCCGCTCGGCCCTGCCAACAGCGGAGGCTCCGTCGCGTGCTCGGGCAGCTCTCGGACCTGGGGCATCGGCGATCCCCGCCCCCTTCCCCGCCAGCCCCAGGCGCCCGGACCCGATACCCGTTTTCTCTTTGCTTTCGCTGCGGTCTCCTGCGCGCCTCGGCTGCTACGTCACATCCGGCAACGCGGCGCAGAATTCTTCCGGAGTCAAAGCAGCAACCGGCCCCACAGGTTATGTGGGGAGGAAAAGGCGGAAGTGCCTGCGACGGGTGCCGGTGGCATCCAAACCCCTTCACCGCGACCCAACCCAGAGCCGACTGACCCCCGGGCGGAGCTGCTGGCAGGGCATTCCAGCTCCGGGGACGCGGAGAGCGGGCTTTCCTTGGAGAGGGTGCGCGAGAAAAGCTGAGGCGGGTGCTCTGAGACGGTGTTTATTGGCTCCTTATAAATCAGAGTCATAACAACTGTACAGAGGGGTCCGATCTTCCCCTTGCTCCCGCCCTTCCCCACTCCCGCTTGGTGGCCCCTGGAAAAAGCAGCTTCATGTGGGGGCACAGGGAGACTCCTGGGATTCACAGTAACCAAGAACAAAAACGGAAATAAATTAAGTGATACGGGGGAGGGTGGGATAGGGAGTCGTGTTCCCCATATCAGTGCATGAAGAGGGGCTACCCGCGGCTTGGAGCTGGGCTTCCCACAAGCTCCCTCCCCTCATTGGGAGTGTCCTGGGGCCCCTGCGAACATGGAGATGTGCTCCACTTGCCATCTAGTCTGACAGCCTGCCTACATGCTCCTGTGCATCTGCCGGCCTGAGCATCCTTGCATGCCATGGGTCATTGGAATGAGGTGCAGGCAGTCGTCGCTCAGAGTCCACAGGCCCAACGGCCAACTGTGCTTGTAGTAGTGAGGTCTCACCCCTCATTCCACCCGTACCAGCAGGGCATAGAGGAGTGTGGCCCCCTTCTCCTTGGTTACCCACTCAAGTTCGGCTGGGCTGAAGTGGGGATCAGGAGGTTCTCTGAGGGCAGCAGAGGGGGGACCAGGGGTGTAGGAGCCAGGGCGCACACACACCTGGAATGCCACCTGGGCCTGGTGTGTCCGCTGGGATTTGGGGTCCCGGAATCTGTCAGGCAAGAAACAAAAATAGGATGGTAAGACCTTTGGCCCCTACAGCCTTTCCTCTTGCTAAGTCTCCCACTGCTGTGACCTTGTTCCTAGAAATCACTCCCTCCCATCTTGTACAGAGACTCCAGTCATCTCCACTTCAAATAGTCTTCCTCTTGGTACCTTCATGGTATTTCCATGGCTAAACCCTTTATTTCCTTCTCTATGCCTCTGTTCAAATCTCACCTTCTTTGTGATGTCTACCCTGAACACTATTTCACATGACTGCTCCAACCACACTTTGATCCCTTTCACCCCACATTACACTTTTTGTTTTCCATAGTACTGGCACCTTTCAAGATAATAAATACTTATTTAAATATGGAAGTGGTCTAGAGTGAGAAGGTTAAGTTCTACAAAAGCAAGTTTCCTTTTTTTCTGGTCACTGAGGTAGCATAAAATCAATTCAGTGAATGTGAGAAGGAATTGCTAGGTTGGCGACTGAAGAATTGGTAGGACCAGGTGGGACAGGGCACAGGGCGAGGGGGTTGCAAATCATGGGGTCCAGGTGGCCCTGAGCCCCTCCCAAGTACTCACTGCACTTTGGATGCTAGGATCTCTGCCCCAGCATATTGGAGGGAAGGGGAAAGCAGCACTGGAGGAGGCTGCTCCTCCCGAGGAGGTGCGCAGTTCTCGCCAGGCTCCTCAAACCCTACTCCAGGTTCTCCCTTCAGGGGCCGGCAACTCAGGATGGAAGCAGTGCCTGTCAGGACAGTGGAGTCAGGGCAGCCCCCCTCAATGGCCACAGGCCCATCATGCCCTGCTTCTGTGGATGCCACAGTACCTGCTCCTAGCTCCCCTCGGTCCAGTACCCTCCGGACAGCTGCCACATTGCTTCCATGATATGCCATGTGCCATTTCTTGGTTAGTGTTCCAGTCTCTAGGCGGGGATTCACCCTAGGAGTTAGATAGCAGGGCAATGGTCACTGGCTCCCCTAAGTCATGGACTAGGCAAGAAGTTAGGTCACTTCTCCATGCATCATCCTTTGACCCTCCTTCTCAAAAAGGGTAAAAAAGGTAAGGGGTGGCCCTCCCTGATGGCGCAGCAGGTTAAAGCACAGCACTGAGAATCTAAAGCCACTTCCGCATGAGTTCGATTCCCGCCTGCCCCGGAGGTGACCACATGGCGTGGCAGACCTCTCCTGACCCGCCCGCTGCTCCCCTCAGCAGTGTACTTCGTCGATCTGCCTGTTCTGCTCCCCACTCTGTCTCTGGTGAATCCTCTCACCCTCCGCATCTCTGGCCTGTACCCCAGTTCTGTATGAATAAATAAATAAATCTTTAAAAAAAAAAAAAAAAAAAGGTAAGGGAGATGCATGATCCTACCCTAACCCTTATTGTACCTGAGGTTGAACCTGCACCAGCCGAAGGGCAGGGCATATTCCCGGGGAGGCTCCCCACGGCGCCTGTGGGCCTCATCTCCACGCAGCTTCCGGCAAGACTCACAGTAGCACAGGCTACGCTTCGGTGGAGGCATGAAATAATCCTCTGCGGGAGAGTGAGTAGCATGCTTGGTGCTGTGGCTCCTGCCCTGGGTCTCTCCTGCCCTCAGCCTCCTTCCAACTGGTCTCCAGGGCTCTGGACCTGGCCCTGGCCAAGTCCAGGAAACAAGGTGGTTCTGGGGACTGGGAACTCACCAGGAAGCAGTAACAGTTCTTGGAAGCGGGAACAAAGGGCATGGTACTCGCAAGTCTTGAGAGGGCTAGCAGTGGGTGGTGGGCCCCAGCACACACTCTCCTTGATACCTGCATAGAGGGGGCACAGGGGGCCGAGTTCACAGAAGCAAGAGCCAAAAGCCTCGGTGGGGGTGCGGGTGGGATCCTCATCCCTTCGTGCTGGCTCACCATCCACCATGTCAGCTTTCTCCATGTCCCCTTGAGTTCCAACACTCTTTCCACTGGCAGCTCCTGGTTCAGGACTTATAATTGTCACCTGCAGGGGAGAAGGGTGGTCAGCCAGAAGGGGATACTGATCTCTTCCTTGGAACACAGAATGCCCCTTTGTTATGATAGTCCCATGTCCCAGGCACTCACTCCTCCCTACCTCCATTGCCACTAACCTGCTCACACTGTCCATAGAGGTCCACAAGCGCATGGCAGGGCTGGGGGACATCAGGCACAGCCACCCCCTGGTCCATCCCATTGACGTGGAGATGCAGCCCCCCAGAGCTGTCTAGCCGAAGGCCCAGGATGGTGCCCTCAGGGCATGTGTCCAGATTTGGCCCAAACTTCTCACAGATCTGGGAGGAGAGACCTACTGTCTTCCCAGAGGTCAGACTCCCACCAGATGCAGCCACACCTAATCTTCACTCTGCTTCAGGCCACCAGCCCCTGAACTTTGCCTTCACATCTGCTCACTACCCAGGCTCTAGCCGCTGCTTCAGTTACCTGAAGTAACTGGAGGAGAGACCACCGCCCATCCCCCTATTCTCAATGGCAGGGAAACAAGAGGCAAGCCTGAGGCTGTCCAGGTAATGACACGTACGCCCTTGCCCATGTGCTTTAGGGCCCCTTGTACCTCAATGACCCACCTCCAGAGCTAGAGGGTCCTGCCTCTCCCATTTGGTCGACCGCTCCTACACAGAAACCTGGCCCTTTCGCTTCACTCTGCTCCCTACCCACCTTGAGACCATTGTGGAAGATACCACGGCCCCGAAGGAGCCAGGCTGCGCGTTTGAGGGCACAAGCAGAAGCAGGGAAGTTAAGCCTCTCTGGCGGGCAGGTGATGACTCCCAGGACAAGGGAAGAGGTCCACTGGCGGTTCAGGAAGTCTATCCGCACCTGGGGGAGAAGGCAACTCCTTCCCAGTCATGGTACCCAGAGAAGAGGGCACCTACCCAGCAGCGCCAAGCTTCTCAGCCCAACCAGGGAGAGAAGCTGGCACTTCTAATGCTCGGAGGGCCCAGAAATTGCAAATCCCATTGTTTCCTTCCCTCTTGTAGTGTTGGCCTTGTTGCGGCCACTGAAAATTTTTGTCCCTAGGATTTCCTTTGCCTGGATAATTCTGATGTATTTTACTTTGTAACAGAAGGGTCCCCTTCTCTGGAAAGTCCTCCCGACTGCCACAAACAGCATCAAACCTCCCCATGGACTACCCTAGCCCAGCTCTACTTCCCTGGCCAGCCACCAGTAACCAACCTACAAACCCCATCACAGGGTAGGAGCCAAAGTCCAGGAAGTTTATCTAAGGGGCTTGTCTTCTACTTTGTCCTGAGCCTGCAAAGTGCCTCTCTCCAGGAAGACTGGCCCTGGGCCACCCTGAACAAGAGGAACTGGGGAAGAAGGTGAGGCCCACCTGGACAAGCAGCTGGGGCACCAGAGGCTGGTTGATGACGACAATGCCCTGATTGTAGCTGGCCACTCGAGTAGCTGTGCGGTTCCCGTTGGACAAAAGGATGTTCTTCCCGTGGTTCTCCAGAAACTCAAGGGCTGTGGGCATGATGGCCACTTGACTCTGGCCCTGGAGTGGAAGAGAGACTGAGCTGCTGGGATTACCAAGGTGAGCCCAAGCCATCCCAGGGGAGTTTACGCAGAGCTTGAGCATAGTGCCTCTGCATTTCCTGGACTGGAAGAGAGAACCCCACAATGACCTGGTGTCCAGTGACCCAACTGTCCACCCAGATACACACTTACTCCAAGGCCATGCTCCTCGCCCTCATCATCCTCCTCGCCCTCACTGCCAGTGTCCGAGCTCGGGGATGGAGGCTGAGTGCCTTCTGTCTCCTCCAGCCTCGTGGAGCTGACAATAGATACACTCCGTACCGGCCCATAGAGATCCAACACAGCCCATACACTCTGGGATACAAAAAATGCAAGAAGTCAGAGATAGAAGATTTCAACCCCACTTCCAGAAACCCATGAAAGCCTTTGGTCTACCTTGGCAATGCCAGTAGCTGCAGGCCCCATATCCTCTCCATCTACGAGAACGTGCATGGTGTCATCTGCCC